AAGCATTTGATAAAATTTAATGCCCTTTCATGATAAAAACACTCTTTAAAATAGGAAAAGATGGAAAGTACCTCCACATAATAAATGCCATATATCAACAACCCACAGCAAACGTAATACTAAATGGTGAAAGACTGAAAGCTTTTCCTCTAAGATCAGTAACAAGGCAGGGGTGCCCACTTTCACCACTTCTATTCAACATAGAACTAGATGTTCTAGCCAGAGTAATTAGGCAAGAAGAAGAAATAAAAGGCATCCAAATTGGAAAAGAAGAAGTAAAATTATTTCTGTTTGCAGATGATGTGATCTTATATGTAGAAAATCCTAAAGATCCACAAAAAGGCTGTTAGAACTAATAATTGAGTTTAGCAAAGCAGCAGGATACAAGGCCAGCACACAAAAATCAGTTGCATTTCTATACACTAAGAAAGAAAAACCCGAAAAGGAAATTAGAAAAACAATTCCATTTATAATAGTACCAAAAAGAATAAAATACTTAGGAATTAACTTAACCAAGGAGGTGAAATACTTGTACAATAAAATTACAAAACAGTTTTTAAAGAAGACGTAAATAAATGAAACACATTCCACGTTCATGGATTGGAACACTTAATATTGTTAAAATGTCAGTATTACCCAAAGCTGTCTACAGATTCAATGCAATCCCTATCAAATACCCAATGACATTTTTTGCAGAAGTAGAAAAACTCATCCTAAAATTCATATGGAATCTCAAGGGACAGTGAATAGCCAATCTTGAAAACAATTTCAAAAATGAAGAACAAAACCAGAGGTCTCATACTTCCTGATTTCAAGACCTACTACAAATCTATGGTAATCAAAACAATGTGGTATTGGATAGAGACATACAGACAAAGAGAGCCCAGAAATAAACTGTCACATATACAGTCAAATGATTTTTGACAAGGGTGTCAAGACCATTCAATGGGTAAAGTACAGTCTTTTCAACAAACGTTGCTGGGGAAACTGGATATTCAGGTGCAAAAGAGTGAAGTTGGACCCTTACCTACCACTGTATATAAAAATTAACTCAAAAGGGATCAATGTAATCATAAATTTAAGACATATAACTTGATCTTGGAAGAAAACATTGGACAAAAGCTTCACAAATTTGGATTTGGCAATAATTTCTTGGATACGACACCAAAGGCTCAGGCAACAAAAGAAAAAATATCAGAATATAGAGAGCTCCTAAAACTCAACACCAAAAAAACAACACGATTCAAAAATGGGCAAAGGACTCAAACAGACAGTTCTCCAAAGAAGATATACAGATGGACAATAAGCACATGAAAAGATGCTCAACATCACTAATCATTAGGGAAATGCAAATCAGAACTACAATAAGATACTACGTCACATCCACTAGGATGGCTACTATCAAAAAGACAGAAGAGAAAAAGTGTTGGTGAGGATGTGGAGAAATTGGAACCCTTGTGCATTGTTGGTGGAAATGTAAAATGGTGAAGCCAGTGTGGAAAACAGTATGGAGGTTCTTCAAAAAATTAAAAATAGAATTACCATATGATCCTGCAACTCCATTTCTGGGTATATACTCAAAAGAATCGAAGGCAAGGTCTCGAAGAGGTATTTGTACACCCATGTTCATAGCAGCATTATTCACAGTAGCTAAAACATGGAAGCAACTCAAGTGTCCATTAACTGATGAATAGATTACCAAATGTGGTATATACATACAACGGAATATTATTTAGCCTTTAAAAGGAAGGAAATTCTGCAGTATGCTACAGCATGGATGAATCTTGAGAACACTATGCTAAGTCTGTCACAAAAAGACAAACCCTGTATGAGTCCACTTATATGAGGTACTTAGAGTAGTCAAAATGATAGAAAGTATAATGGTGGTTGCCAGGGGCTGAGGGGAGAGAAGAATGGGAAGTTATTGTTGAATAGGTAAAGAATTTCATATTTACAAGATGAATAGAGTTATGGGGATGGATGGTGGTGATGTCTGCACAACTGTGTGAATATATTTAACACCACTGAACTGTACACTTAAACATGGTTAAGATAGTAAATTTTATATGTATTAAAAAAGGTTTTTTTTTTAAAAGGAATAAAACATTGGAGAAAAAAACCACTTTAAAGTGAGTAATTCTGTGGCATTTAGTGTATTCACAAAGTTGTACTTCTTATCTATTTAGTTCCAAGACATTTCCATCATTCGAAAGTAAAACTATACCCATTAAGCATTTTCTCCTTCTCTCTCCCTCCTCCCAGCCCCCATAGCAACCACCAATCTATGCTAAGTCTCTGTTTGTTTATTCTGTATATTTCCTATAAATGGAACCATACAGTATGTGCCCTTTTGTGTTTAGTTTCTTTGATCTAGCAAAATGTTTTGGGGTTAATCCATGTTGTTCGTTTTTGCAAGTGAATAATATTCCATTCTATGGATAGCCACATTTTGTTTATCCATTCATCCATTGGTGGACATCTGCGTTGTTTCCACCTTTTGGCTATTGTGCTGCCGTGAACGTGCATGTACATGTACTTGTTTGAGTCCCTGCTTTGAGTTCTTTGGGGTATATACCTAGGAGTGGAATTGCTGAGTCAAATGGCAATTCTATGTTTAACTTTTAGAGGATCAGCCAAACTGTTTTCCACAGCAGCTGCACCATTTACAATCCCACCAGAAATGTACGAGGTTTCCAGTTTTTCCCCATCCTTGTCAACACTTGTTATTTTCTGTTTTGTTTTTTTTTTAAATCACCGTCCTAGCAGGTGTGAAGTGGTATCTCATTGGAGTTTTGATTAGCATTTCTCTAGTGACTAGTAATGTTGAGCATCTTTTCATGTTCTTGTTTTGTATATCTTTTTTGGAGAAATGTCTGTTCAAGTCCTTTGCCCATTTTTTAATCAAGTTGTTTGTCTTTTTTGTTGTGAAGTTGTAAGAGTTGTTTGTGTATTTTACATTCTAGACCTTAATCACATGTGATTTGCACCTACTTTTTCCCATTCTGTAGGTTCTCTTTTCATTTTCTTGATAATGTTCTTTGATACCACTCAAAATTTTTATTTTGATGAGGTCTAGTTTATCTGTTTTTTCTTTTGTTGCCTCTGCTCTTGGTGTCATACCTAAGAATCCATTGCCAAATTCAAGGTTATGGAGACTTACGCCCATGTCTTCTTCTAAGAGTTGTGTAGTTTTAGCTCTTATATTTAGGTCATTGATACATTTTGAGTTAATTTTTATATATGGTGTGAGGTAGGAGTTCAATTTCATTCTTTTGCATGTAGGTATCCATAGCTCATTCTTAACACTAACAGCCGTAAGGGGTCAAATTGTGTTTTAAATGTCCATTTACTGCCCAATAACAAGTATTCCAAAATTTGGTGAAACGATCTATAGCATGAGTACTGGATATTATAATAATTAGGGGAACAAGTCATTCAATTTGATGGATAAGAATGGTTTTAATTGCCCCGTGTAGAGCTCATTTCAGTGGTAGGACCTGGCCCACACTCGGCCCCATTTGAGCTTAGCTGTCCCATCCTAATTATTTCCTGTCCAGCTGAAGTATAGCGGAGGTGGAGACCTTGGCCCACAGTGCCTAGCCCTTGCTGGCCCCTATATTTGCTGCTGACTTGTGTCCTTGCCTGAAGCCCTGCTGCCTCCTCTCCTACCTCTTCTGTGGTCTGCTGATGACCGATGTTTATCTTGGCTTCCAGCGTTCTCTGCCTGCGGAGCATTAGGCTCTCCCACCCTTCATCAGCGGTTTCCTCAGTTTGATAGCCCGACCCTTTGGCCACTTTGAGCACCTTTGCCTTCACCTACTTGTTATCTCTCTGGTCCAAATCAGAGCTGTTTCCCATGCCTAACAAAGCAAGGTCCTGTCTTTTCTGGGTCTGAAGCTTCCTCCTTGATTTCAGCTCAAAACTGCTCTCCTAGAGCCCCCTCAGCCCCACCCCAGGCTTCTCTAGCTTTCCTGTTCTCTTCTTCAACCGTGGTGTCTTCTCATATGGCATTTTGGATCTGTTGGAAGAATGCTGATGTCTTTTCTCCTCTTTGAATAAAATATCTTTAGACTGCTTAGCATTTTGGTTTGATCTATGTGAACCATCTGTGTCTTCTCTGATGCTCCCCTGCTTGCTGAGTCCCCTCCCTTTTCTACTGTTTACCTCATTCCTACTCTTCATGTCTGTCTCCCAGAGACATCAAAGACGACTGTCTGAAATGTCAGATTTACTTACCTGATTATATGGAAATCATGAAAGAATTAATAAATCTGAAAATGTCAGAGTCTTGTCTTGATTCATAAACCTTTAAAAATACAATTTTAATTTTAGAATAGGTGATACTTTTACTTACATCAGAAGTCAAAACAATAAAAATATGCACATAGAAGTCTTGCTCCCACCGTCCCACATTTGTAAGCACATCTATAGAGTTTTAAGGTCTTTTTCCCCAATGCAAATATCTGAATAGCACTAAATTAAATACATTCTGTAACATATTAGTATTGATGGACATATCATGATGTTAGAGACTTTGGACAGATAGCAGTTTACTTGTAGGTTATAACTCTTCCCCACTCCCCCCATATATGTGCATCATTATGAGTGATTACAAAAACTGATGGCAGAATACAAATAATGTTCATAGGAAGTAATCTTGAAATTGAGCCAAGGAATTTATATCAACTTATATTTTAAATAGTTTCTAAAATCAAAGATTAACCTATGTAAGTTTCATGAAGTTATTTATATTTTATTTTCACAAAGTTTAGTAAATTCTCTAAGACTATATCCTAGAGCAAATCACTGTCTTGTGTTTAGCTGTTCCTACTTTGTGTCATATTTTGGGTTGGAAAAAAAATGAAATTTACATAGGAAAAACTGAAGCCAATAATAGCACTAAAGATAACCATTAGCCACCACATCCTCACTTAAACTTTTTGGTAGAAAGGTCCTAACTTGCTGATAAAACTAAATGTGTGTGTGTTTTTTTCTTCCAGATTTGGAATGGAGAGAAATGGAAGGAGATGATTGCGAGTTTCATTATGGAGGTAGAAACTACAGGATTTGGCAACAGATTGGACTGGGGAAAGAGAGAGGGAATGGGTAAAGTGAAAAATAGCTGGGGGGCCGGCCCCGTGGCCAAGTGGTTAAGTTCGTGCGCTCCGCTTCAGCGGCCCAGGGTTTCGCTGGTTCGGATCCTAGGCGCGGACATGGCACCACTTGTCAGGCCATGCTAAGGTGGCGTCCCACGTGCCACAAGTAGAAGGACCCACAACTAAAATATGCAACTATGTACTGGGGGGGTTAGGGAGAAAAAGCAGGGAAAAAAAATGAAGTTAAAAAAAAAAAGAAAAAGAACTGGGATTTTATATTTCGAACAACTGGGAGAAGTTGCTGTCTTAGAAAGAGAGAGGCTTCTGAGTTTAGCTTAAATTAATTTGTGTCAATCCAGGGCACCTGATTGGATTGACACTTCATTTTCCTTTGCTTTTTTAGATGGTACGAATGAGGCTCAAGACGGTGACTTTCCAGCAGGTATGCGTTTTCTCTCTGTTTTTTTTCTCTGCTCTAGCTTCCTGTCCTTTTGAAGGACATCATCTATACTGGTGGTTCCCACACCTGACTGCATCCAAGTCACCCCTAGCCCATTAACTGTTTATGTGCCATTAATAATATGGCCAGAAGAACACCCCCCCGGGGAGCTGTTCCCATGTAGAGTAACATCGTGAGTTAGCAGCCAGAGAGGGGAAGCCCAGGAATCTTATTTTTAACAAGTTCCCAAAGTGATTCTAAAGCACAGCCAGGTTTGAGAACCATTCGTCTGATCCAGTGGTTGCATTTACAGATCTGCCAAGGGTCACGGACTGGGCATGGGTATATATATAAATAGGTTTGTTTACTCTGGCTTTTTCCTGTCGCACTTAACTACCACACCGCTTAAAAAATCAAAACGGTTGTTCCATGTCTGGATAAGAAACACAATGTTCCTGGTTTCATTCAGGCAAAACTCAGAAACCTGAGTAGCACCCGTGAAGGATTTCTACTACAGTGTGTCTCTCCCCACACAGTTCTTTCGTTTCTGCAACAAGTTCACCAGCGCTCGTTCTCTCTGGGGCGATGCCAAAGCCCCTCTGTGCGTAGAGCACTCTGAGCCCCTGGGGAAGGAGGGGTTTCTGAAGAGAGACATTAGGTAGCAGGTGGACCCCTACTGGGGAGTGAGACACCTGAGTCCCAGTGTTTTGAGCCTGCTGGTCACCCAGGAGTGGTCCTGAGCCCGTCCTGTGACTTCTTGGGACTCAAGCAGAGGGCTGGCCACCTGTGCTTCCTCTTGCTGGTTATCTGAGCAGCTAAGGAAACATCACCGGTGTCGCTCCTTCTTTTGAGAAAGGAATGAGAAAATCCTTGAGTTCAGCAGGATTTGTATTTATTTAGTTTGTTAATTTATTTAACATTTAAAATGTACTAATCATATGCAGTATGAAAATTGGTGAGATGCCGTGGCCAAGAAAGGGGTGGTGGGTAAAACTGTTGGAGGGGCATTACTGTTCTCAGCATCTAGTGCTTGTGAGAATTCATATGGTTTTCAGTGATATTTGAAGATCTGAACAAATAATTGCAGACTTATGATCATCTCTACCAAATATTTTAATACAGTAAAAACTTAAAACCATCTTATTGGCTTCAGATTTGCAAGATGGTTGTTTAGCTATGATTTCTGTCACTCTATACTTAGTAGTAACTCCCTGTTTCCTTTAAAAATTCTTCAACTTATTTGTAAAGAGAAACATTAACTAGAAAATCAGAGTGAATCAGTGATTGTGTCCGCTGTGGGAAATTCCTGGTGACACTGTGAGGGAACCCACTGGGGTCCCAGAGTGTGGGGTCAGGATGAGGGAACCCACTGCTGGGCCTGGAGTGTGGGGTCAGGACGAGGGAACCTGTTGCTGGGCCCAGAGTGTGGGGTCAGGACGAGGGAACCTGTTGCTGGGCCCGGAGTGTGGGGTCAGGACGAGGGAACCCCCTGCTGGGCCCAGAGTGTGGGGTCAGGACGAGGGAACCCACTGCTGGGCCCAGAGTGTGGGGTCAGGACGAGGGAACCTGTTGCTGGGCCTAGAGTGTGGGGTCAGGATGAGGGAACCTGTTGCTGGGCCTGGAGTGTGGGGTCAGGATGAGGGAACCTGTTGCTGGGCCCGGAGTGTGGGGTCAGGACGAGGGAACCTGTTGCTGGGCCCGGAGTGTGGGGTCAGGATGAGGGAACCTGTTGCTGGGCCCGGAGTGTGGGGTCAGGACGAGGGAACCTGTTGCTGGGCCCGGAGTGTGGGGTCAGGACGAGGGAACCCGTTGCTGGGCCCGGAGTGTGGGGTCAGGACGAGGGAACCCGTTGCTGGGCCCGGAGTGTGGGGTCAGGACGAGGGAACCCCCTTGCTGGGCCCAGAGTGTGGGGTCAGGACGAGGGAACCCACTGCTGGGCCCAGAGTGTGGGGTCAGGACGAGGGAACCTGTTGCTGGGCCCGGAGTGTGGGGTCAGGATGAGGGAACCTGTTGCTGGGCCCGGAGTGTGGGGTCAGGACGAGGGAACCTGTTGCTGGGCCCAGAGTGTGGGGTCAGGATGAGGGAACCTGTTGCTGGGCCCGGAGTGTGGGGTCAGGACGAGGGAACCTGTTGCTGGGCCCGGAGTGTGGGGTCAGGATGAGGGAACCTGTTGCTGGGCCCAGAGTGTGGGGTCAGGATGAGGGAACCTGTTGCTGGGCCCGGAGTGTGGGGTCAGGACGAGGGAACCTGTTGCTGGGCCTGGAGTGTGGGGCCAGAAGCACAGGAGTATCTTGGAGTAGGGGCGTGTTGGAAGAACGGGGCCTGCGTTCCACATTGAGGGTGCATAGCTGCTCACTCTAGCCAATTAAATTTGGACTTGTGTTGCTAGATCTTACAGGTTTGAAGAGAAACCAGACATGTAGACTTTGACATGAAATCTTCCAGTTCTTAATGTCGCCCCTGAGTGTCACATTTCCTCTCTAATATCACACGTATCTGGTTACATTTGGGCCTTGGGTGGTGTGATTTTACCTCTTTCTTGGGCTCTGGTGGGCCTAGGCATATCCATATCCTGCTCTTTGAAGGAGGCCATCTCCCAACCCCCACGCTGGCTCTCCCTCCCCACCTCTAACCTGAGCCCTTGACACGCAGGGTGAGCACTTATGTCTTCATTTCTCTCCACAGTGGAGAGGAGCAGACTGCAAGAAATGCTGTCGCTTTTGGGACTAGAGACTTACCAGCTCCAGAAACTCAGCCTCCAGGACTCCCTGCAGATTAGTAGTGACAGCATGAAGAACTGGGCTCCTCAGGTTCCCAAAGACTTGCCCTGGAATTTCCTCAGGAAGCTGCAGGCCCTCAATGCTGAAGCTAGGAACACTACCATGGTGCTGGACGTGCCCCCAGATGCCAGGCCTGTGGAGAAGGAGAGCCAGATGGAAGAGGAGATTATTTACTGGGACACGGCTGATGACATCTCTGCGGACATCTATTCCTTCTCTGAGCTGCCAACCCCCGACACACCTGTGAACCCCTTGGATCTTCTCTGTGCCCTTCTGCTTTCCTCCGATAGTTTCCTGCAACAAGAAATCGTGGTAAAGATGTCCCTCTGCCAGTTTGCACTCCCTCTCGTTTTGCCCGACTCAGAGAACCACTACCACACATTTCTGCTGTGGGCCATGAGGGGCATTGTGCGGACCTGGTGGTCACAGCCCCCCAGGGGGGTGGGCAGCTTCAGAGAAGACAGCGTGGTCCTGTTCCGGGCGCCCGCCTTTGCCTTCGTGCGCATGGAGGTCAGCAGCAACTCCAAGTCGCAGCTTCTCAACGCCGTGCTCAGCCCGGGCCACCGGCAGCGGGACTGCTTCTGGCATCGAGATCTGAACTTGGGCACAAACCCTCGGGAGATTGCAGACGGGCTGGTGGAAATTTCCTGGTTTCTTCCCAGTGGCAGGGAAGACTTGGACATTTTCCCAGAGCCGGTGGCCTTTCTGAACCTGAGAGGCGACATTGGGTCTCACTGGCTGCAGTTTAAGCTCTTGACAGAAATCTCCTCAGCGGTGTTCATCTTGACTGACAACATCAGTAAGAAGGAGTACAAACTGCTGTACTCCATGAAGGGGTCGGCCACGAAATACTACTTCATCCTGAGTCCCTACCGTGGGAAACGAAACACAAATCTGAGATTCCTAAACAAGTTAATTCCTGTGCTGAAGATGGACCACTCGCACGTCCTCGTGAAGGTCAGCAGCACGGACAGCGCGAGCTTTGTGCGGAGGGTCCGCTCCATCGTGGCCCACGTGGCCCGGTCCCCCTGCAGGAGGTTGTCTTTGGAGGAAATGGCGAATGCAGCCCGCAAGCTGGGGCTGAAGGTCGATGAGGACTGCGAGGAGTGTCAGCGAGCGAAAGACCGGATGGAGCGGATCACCAGGAAAATCAAAGACTTGGATGCCTACCGAAGGGATGAGCTGAGGCTGCAGGGGGATCCTTGGAGAAAGGCGGCCCAGGTGGAGAAGGAGCTCTGCCAGGTGCAGTGGGCTGGGGACCCTCCTGAGAAGCACAGGGCTGAGCTGCGGCATCGTTTACTGGAACTTCGAATGCAGCAGAATGGCCATGACCCTGCCTGGGGGGTGCAGGAGTTCATCACGGGTGTCAGCAGCCCCTCCCTGGGCGAGAAGCAGTACTTCCTGAGGTGGATGGAGTGGGGGCTGGCCCGGGTGGCCCAGCCAAGGCTGAGACAGCCTCCGGAGACAATTCTTACCCTGAGACCAAAACACTGTGGGGCCGTGGACTTCAGTGAGGCGCTCTGGCCTGAGCCCCTGGGGGTGGAGCACTTCCTGCGGGAGATGGGACAGTTTTACGAGGCAGAAAGCTGCCTTGTGGAGGCAGGGAAGCTGCCAGCAGGCCAGAGGCGATTTGCCCACTTCCCAGGCCTGGCCTTGGAGCTGCTGCTGAGAGGGCTCCCCCTGGAGCTGATCGATGGGAGCACGCTGAGCACTCCCCTGCGCTGGGTCACGGGGCTCCTGAAGGAGCTGCACATCCGCCTGGAGAGACGGTCGCGGCTGGTGGTCCTGTCGGCACTGGGTGTGCCAGGCACGGGCAAGTCCACCCTTCTCAACACCATGTTCGGGCTGCGGTTTGCCACAGGGAGGGGCTGTGGTCCTCGAGGGGCCTTTATGCAGCTCATCACGGTGGCCGAGAGCTTCAGCCAGGACCTGGGCTGTGACCACATCCTGGTGATAGACTCAGGGGGCTTGATAGGGGGCACCCTGACCGCGGCTGGGGAGAGGTTTGAGCTGGAGGCTTCCCTGGCCACTTTGATTATGGGGCTGAGCAATGTCACCGTGGTCAGTTTAGCTGAAACAAGGGACATTCCGCCAGCTATTCTGCATGCATTTCTGAGGTTGGAAAAAACGGGGCACATGCCCAACTATCAGTTTGTATACCAGAACCTTCATGAGGTGTCTGCCCCTGGCCCTAAGCCAAGAGAGAGGAGGCAGCTCCTGGATCAGCCCAGTGACGTGAGCAGAGCTGCAGCACAAATGGAGAAACAGGGCGATGGCATCCGGACGCTGGCTGACCTGGCCTTTTGTGACCCTGAGAGGCAGCACATTTGGCACATCCCTGGCCTGTGGCACGGAGTGCCTCCCATGGCTGCTGTGAGCTTGGGGTACAGCGAAGCCATTTTTGAACTGAAGAGATGCCTGCTAGAAAACATCAGGAATGGCCTGTCCAACCAAAACAAAAACATTCAGCAGCTCATTGAGCTGGTGAGACGGCTGTGAGTGTCGAGAGAACAGAGGTTCAGCTGCCGGAGGCCTGCTGTGGGCGGCCTGCTCTGATGGGGTGCCTGCGAGGGGCTGGGCCTGGCCCCTCAGGGGCGCTGGTGCCCCACCCACACGAGAAGAGAGCTCTGGAGTTTCCTAAACAGTGTTAAGAAAGGAAGTCACCTCACAGACCAGCTCCGAGATGCTCTCGGGAGCGTTAGGGGCCCTGGGCTAGGGGTGGAGACACAGCAAGAATTTGTCCTCTGTCTCTGAGCTCCTTTCCTGGCCCCTGGGGGTTCGGCCTCTTGGGCAGCTGCCCTCTTCCATCTGCCCCTGGAGCGGAGAGCAGCTCCGCATCACTGCAGCCCGGGCAGACAGGTGCCCTGAGGAAGCAGAGGGAGGCCTTTCCTCTGGCGAACCCCAGCCTCGGTGGCTCGATGCTGCCATTCAGTGAGGGCCCGCGGAGCGCAGGGCTGCCGGGGCACTCTATTTATTGACTGACCTGTGAAGCCTTCCCTGCCCGCCCCAGGAAGAGTTCCTGCTCGCTCTGTCGCGCCCCACAGCACTCTGTTTACACCTCTGCCACAACACTCAGTGCAGGTGACTTACCTGTTCACGCCTGCCCCTCCCCTAGGCTGTGCGCTCCCTGAGGGCAGGGGCTGGATATTACCCAGCTTTGTACCCCCAGGGCCTGGCACACTGTAGGCGCTTAATAAATGTGTGTTGAATGAATGAAATTAATGCATGCACAAATGATGGTAATGGGAAGGTTCCTCTCTGTGCCTTAATTCTCCTGTTTCCTGAAGAGGATCAGTGTCAGTCTGAGGAGCATGCAAAACAGAATGTCTGAAATGTTGGACACCTGAGAGAAGGGCCTGAAAAGGCCTTGCTGTTCCTCTCTAAGTGGAGATCCATTGCTCAGGCTGTTGCTGGGAAACTGAACCAACTGTCTTGGCAGTAAGTCTGAGGTCTCTCCACCATCATCCCGTTTGATGGATGAGGAGAGGTGGCCTGGAGCAGTTCAGCAGCACAGCCCAGCCACACAGAGGTATTGAGGCACCGACGGGTAAGCCAGTGCTCTCAGCCCTACACCTCTGCTTCCTGACCGCTCATCTTCCCCAGACTCCCACGCTGCCGGGCTCACCCCCAGCCTGGCCCCTCAGTGTTAGCCCTTCGTCTCACTTCCATGTCTCTGGAGCCAGGCATCCTCCCTCATATCCCTGGCCCATTTGCCACCTTTCAAGCTGGAATGTAGGGCTCCTCCGCTCTCGATTCTTTAGCAGGAAGCTTTCCCTGTGCTCGCCCTTCCCAAGGATCAGGGTCACCTCGCTGAGCCTCTGACCCAAACCCCCGCTGTGTCATGAGCTCCGGGAATCTCTGCTTAGGCTTGGGGCTTCCTTCCCTCTGTATTTTGTGACTTCAGGGAAACTAGGCCCCCAGGTGGCAACCAGGTCCTCCTCTGTGTTCCTTGTACTCCTTTGGCCAGACGCAGCAAGGGAGCCCTCGGGACTGGAACCCTTTCTTGAACAGCAGACTCACTGGTCCCTTTTCTGGAGTCCCAGGACGCTACCCCTGCTGCTCCCTTGGTGTTAAAAATGTTTCCCCTGCATTCTGGTAACCAGCATCTAGACGTGTGAAACCGAGGCTGGAAGCAGTTTATATTTTGCTAATAAATTTAGGAAAACCTTTTCCCTTCTGAAACTCAAAAAGAATCTCTAATCTTCAGGCCCTAGAAACTCATCTCTTCCTGGATCGTAAATAACAACAAATTTTAAGATGTTGGTTCCCCTGGAAATACCAAAACCGTGTCTTCTTCCTCCCTCTAGAGTCATGGAACCTACCAGGTGCTTCTCCAGCACTGTAGGGATTTCACCCAGGACACTCCTGGGCCCTGCGTCCAGGCACTGGAAACTCTCTTAGAATTGTTGAATGTCAACCAGTTCCCTTAAAAATGGATTCTATTATTCCTGAAATCTGAAACAGGGAAGGCAGCCCTCTTGGTTCCTTATTAATCAAAGAGTCTTTACCCTGGGTCTATACATCGTGCAAAGATAAGCTTCAGTCACTGAATTCCTGAAAATTAGGTGTGTGCTTTTTTTTTTTTTTTCCTGGGGAAAGAGTTCATAGCTTTCAAAGATTTTCAAAAGGATGCAGGATCCAAAATAGATTAATAACTGCTTAGTAACCAGGAAAATTATTCTGTACATCCCCGGGACCTAAGATACTATGAAATTACATCATTTGCCCACAGTATTTAAACTTTTGAAAACAGACCAATCTAAAGACCGGATGTAACAGACTTTGAGCAAGAGGTTGCCCTGGGTAGGACCACTGTGGAGGACACGCAGTCAAGCAGCCAAGGAATTCTGGAACTGCCTGAGCAGTGTCGAAAGACCATCACCTCTCAGGTATAGGCTGCCCTGGAGCGGAGTCATTTTTCCAGAAAGAGTCAGTTATGATGCTCCCTTCATCCTTGTTTAGGGGTTGATGTTTCAATTCCATGACCTGCTAAAGGGGTTCATCTTCAGATCCTGAAGTCAGTGCCACTGTTGTGATTCAAATTTCCACAATATTCTGTTCTTGCCTAGCCGCCCTGGAGCTCAAAACACAGCATCAGTGTGCCCCACCATTTCTGGGTTCACCACGGCCAGAGGGCCCCCCAAGCATCAGACCTGAAGACATCTTCATGGTCTGAGAGGCCCCAGAACTTGCCAAGTAATGTCCTTGGAGCCAAGCTTAGTGATGCGAGAGCCACTCAGACATGGAAAGGTGGACAGTGCTGCTTGCAGGGGACCTGTGTACTTTGGTGAAAGCATGAACCATGTCAGTGATCTTGGAGTAAATGGGCCTGGGAGTCTTTGAGACCAAGCACAAGAGTGCCTGCACTTCTCCTGGGAGAGGGGCAGTAGCTTGCCTCAGCCAGCATGCAGGATGCTGGCCTGGGTCTGAACCTTGGCCTTGCTTCCTGCTAATACCGTGGGCCTTGAGCACCATCACTCCACTTTGCTAGGCCTTAGTCCCCCTACTAGCACCTGCTCTGTGGTGAGTGCACAAAGGCTGGTTTTGGAGGAGCCGGTCTGGGCATGTAGCAAGGCACCAGAAGCCGTGTCTACACCAGTCTGCATGAGGCTCCTGCAAAGGAAACTCCCTGCTTTCTACATCAATCTCAAACATTTTAACATGCCAAACAGGATTTATCTTGTAATCAATCAGTGGTATTTTAAAATTAATTTGCAGCCATTTCTCTTCTTTAATGGTATATAAAGCAGTGTCTTGTAATCAGTGTTATCTTAGATTTACTGAAACACAGCACCTAGAAGAGCTGGTGTTGAGAAATCTGTACCAATCTAAACCTGATGTGGTAGCTCTCCCCAGCTCCTCAGATGTGAATTAGCCCAGTAAAGAAAAATCCTTTTTTCTTCTGAGTCAGTAATTAAAAAAATGATTTTGGCTGTAAATCTATCCTGAGTTCCTAAGACTTCAACAAAATTACATCAGATGCGGTTTTGCAAGCACCAGTGAGACAGGACTGCAGAAGAGAGCCAAGGTCATCTTGATCCTGGTTCTGGCAACTTCCCACCCCTCACCCCATAGCACCCACACTCTGGACTCGCTGGCTTCACTCATGCCATCTGCCTGGGGCCTCCTGCCACCTGTCCTTGTTCCTGGCTGACTCTGGCAAGCGCTTCTCCCTCAGGACGGCTTCTGATGGCAGCCCACCTCCATTCTGCCGCCTGAGGGGGTCAGGGGCCTTTGTGTGCTCCTGTTATGGTCCTTATCTTAACCTAATTTCACTTGTCTGCTTTTCTGCCCTCCCCGTCTGAGCTCCCTACGGAAGGCATGGCATCTCGCCCATTTTTGTGTCCAAATCTAGCACGGTGTCTGAGACCCAGGGAGTGAGGTCTCAACTGCCGGCACACATGAGGCCCATTCCTCGCCACCTACCCAAAGCTGTGGAGCTCTGACTTTTAGCCCAGGGCCCCCGTGTGGCGCAGGGTGTTTCTAATGGGTTCCTCGGTGCCCCAAACTGAAGTCAGTAATTACAGTTGGGACCTAACCCAGTGAACCTACCCCTTCTTCCTGTGCGTCAACAGAGGAGGGGGCGGGAGAACAGAGCAGGAGCTCAGAGGGAGACATGGGAGTAGACCCCGCTGGCTACCTGTTTGAGAAAGAGGACGAATCAAGACTCTTGCTTTAACTCGGTTTCAGTGGACGGTTGACCTAGTTCCCAGAATAGAGCTGACAGCCTCTGGGGTTCTTCTTGGTGAACAGGTTGGTTATTGGGAGAAAACTGCCAGGAGTAATGTAGAAGCCATAGGTTTACAAAATGTAAAGTGTCAGCAGTTCCGAGTTAGGGGAGGTCAGTCTTGTGAGGAGAACCATCAAGAGTGGGGTTGTCTCCGCCAGCCCCGCAGCCAACAAGAAGGCAGACGTCTCCAGCTGGGGTGCCCCTCCCGGAGGCTAGATTTTGGTGAGTTCTAGGAAATAAACACCATGTCCCAGGCTGGACTGTGCTCTGCAAGTCCAAGTGGGCCCAGTCTGCCTCTCCTACAGTGTTGCCCCACAGCCCGGCCAGTGCTGTGTCCTGATACAGCTGAGCCCTTGGCCTGCACTGGACCCAGCAGACAGTCTCAGAGAAGTCCAGACCACCCAGCAGGCCCCTCCTCTGCCTTGTGCCCCAAGAGAGGCGGGCCTGGACTAAGGGCGCTCCCCCCAGAGTGAGAGCTGTCATGGTCTTGTAGGACCTGTGGTAGAAAAGGGGAGTAAGGATCATCCAACAGCCCTCTCCCCAAAAAGGATCTCTACCAATCAGTTCTGGGAGTTTCCCACAAGCCTTGGAGTTTAGGACACTGCTTCTCAACACTGGCTGCACATCGGGATCATCTAAGGAGCACTGAAAGAGCACACGTACCACCTCTCCGTACTTGTGGTTTGGGGCCCAGAGGACTCCAACGTGCAACCAGAGTTGAGAACATAAAAGCGACTCTGGTTATCATAGAGCAAACATGAAAAACAGAGGTGAAGAAACAGTTGTACCTCCCCATCTCCCCAGGACTCTGGTCCGGACCTCCCAGCAGGGGTGCAGGTGGGCCCTTCGTGTGGGTCACTTGTTTCTAGATGTGGCTGCTCCATATCCAGGAAGTCCGCAGGGCCAGTCCTGAGCGGTCTGCGCCCAGCCACAGAAAGGCAGGCCATTCCCCCATCCTACATGGTTCTGAACGCTCATCCCCACCCACTGATGCAGTGGAACCCCAGAGGCGGAACGAGCACATGCTTTGGAACGGGAAGGCTTGCTGCCTTTTGCTAGTTCTGTCACCTCAGGTGAGTGTCTGAGCCTCCATCTTGTGATCTGCAAACCCTGGACAATACTGCTTCCTTTCCAGCACTCATGGGAGAAGCAAAGTGCCAGAACACTAACAAATGGAAATTTCAGATAAATAAAACATCCCATTAAAGTTTTTCCACTGGCGATTTAAAACAATGTAACAATATATACGACTATATTAAAATGCTGCGTTAAGTTCTTTTAATCACGCAAACACACTCACATGTGCCCCTCATCAAGGAACCAGCTGAAACCCTTTTTACAAGGCATGGTATAAATAAAGACAATAAACAAAAGTAGGTAACAGGATATTTGAACCAGGAAAGATCTGCATCAGTTTGGAATGCCTGGGAGACACCTAAGGAAGAGTGGCTTGAATAAAGAAAAACACAAATTTGATTGTGTTATTGCCTATCCCCTCAAGCGCAAAACTTGAACCCCTAGCACAACAGCCCCGGCTCCCCTGGCCAGCACTGCCTCCTGCTGGTCCAACAGAAGTCGGCGACTTACCACCTTTACTGGAAAACCAGCCTCTTCTCCTTTCCTCTGGTAAGGGTGGTGTTCCTGTGAGTTCTCAGGAACCCTTAATAGCTAGCTCATCTCCCTGTGAGAATGGAGATATCAGGGACTCTGCCAGGCATTTCACAATGTAGTTTTCACAACAACCATCACTGTCCCCATTTTACAGATGAGAGAAAGTGAGGCTCAGGAAAAGTCACTTGCCTAAATTGCACAGCCAGGAAGCAGTAATTCAAACACCAGATTCTATGTTCCTCACCACTTTGGAGCAGAATTAGAAAACTTATCAAATTATAAAACTTTATGGAAACTTAAAAAAAAAAAAGATACTACCAGTTTAAAAGCCCATCAGGAAAAGTTGAAACTTCTTATGTTTGCAAAGTATTGTAATTGGAGAACTTCTCATTCCTGTTCTGTCCCCTTGAGACCACGATTTAAAAATTTAAGGTGCCAGCCCGGTGGTGTAGCGGTTAAGTTCGCACGTTCCGCTTCTCGGCGGCCCGGGGTTCGCAGATTCGGATCCCGGGTGAGGACATGGCATCGCTTGGCACGCCATGCTGTGGTAGGCGTCCCATGTCTAAAGTAGAGGAAGATGGGCACGATGTTAGCTCAGGGCCAGGCTTCCTCAGCAAAAAAGAGGAGGACTGGCAGTAGTTAGCTCAGGGCTAATCTTCCTCAAAAAATAAAAAATAAAAATTTAGAAGTAAAACATTCCCAGTGAAATGGGCATGAAAGATGCTGTCCCTTTATTACAGGCTGAGGACCCGGCTTCGAGTGGTCAGAGGAAGCTTGATCATGGACAACGGACTGGACTGAAGCTAAGAGACTTAGGTTTGGGCCCTCTCTGCCCCTCCCCAGTGTGATCTTGGGCAACTCAGCGTCCATCTGTGCCTGCATTTCCCTCCCCTCCTCATGGATGATAATCGGGTTCTCCCTCCCATTAAACCACAGCCATATATAAGCAGCATTGGGATGAATGACGTAGGTCAAAAACGGCCAAATGTTGGCAATTTCACATGATTCGAACTAACAGAACTAGTAACAGCTATTTATCCTAACGGCTTTATGAGGCAGAAAAACCCACTTTATAGAAAATGGAACTGAGGCTCAATTGCACACAGATTGTTACATCTGGGCCCGACTCCAGAGCCCGTGTTTTTTCCATTCCTATGGTGAGTTCTGAAATAAGATAGCCAGTGTTGCTATGGTTCTTTCTGACATTAATAATTACTGGGTACTAATTACAGTGGCAATGCTCTAGTTTGACTATTACAAGCCCTGTGATATCCCCACGAATTTCCTTATCATCCAGCCTTTTCTCCCTGACTTAAAATTTCCTTCCCCAAGGCCAGTATGGTCACATGTGAAACCCTACCCTCCACATAACTCATCCTTGAGGAATTGGGTGAAGTTTTAACCAAAACATGTTTCTTCTTTGTGGATAAAAGCCAGAGGGGGTTGGTTGGTTGGTTGGTTGGTTTTTTAAGAATATTATTTGCAGACAACTCAGCAGCCGTTGTTCCCTCCGGCCCGTCCCCTCTTCAGGACACCCAGCGCGAGCTCTCTGAGGGGGAAACCTCACGTTCCGCATCATCAAATTTCCGGATCTGGAATACGTGGCAAACAACGCCCGCTGCAGGACGTGGAGGGGCAAGGATAAGGGTTACAGGTTGGCGGGGGCACGGGAAGGTCCAGCTCCCAGCAAGACTCGGCCCCGCGCAGCCCACCTCGCAAACGGGGGGCGCGCCGCGAGACCCCCGCCAGCCCTCACTTGGGTCGCCGCCCGCGTTCGCGCGGCCCCGCCCCGGCCAAGCGGCGCGCACCCCCGCGCCGGCTCCGATTTGGTCTCGTCCGCAGCGCGACCTCCGACGATTGACCTTTACTCTGGGGGCGCCCCGCCCCGCCCCGTCCCCCGCGCGGCGCCGTGGTACGCTCCGCGCGCTCCGCTCGGCCCAAGATGGCGGCGCCCTTGTGCAGCCGGGTGCTGGGGCCGCGGGTAAGTGGGCGACGCGGGCGTGGCCCGGCGGGACGGGGTGGGGGCCCCAGTTTCCATCTCACGCCCCCCGACCTCCACAGGTGCTGCCCTGGAGCCGGGAGCTGCCGTGCGCCTGGCGCGCCCTGCACACTTCCGCGGTCTGCGCCAAGGTGAGCGCGGCCGGGGCCGGGGCCAGGGCTGGGACCGGGTGGGCGCTGTGCAGGGGCGGAGGTCTGCATTGGGGGTTTCGGGGGCTCGGGGGCTCGGGGCGGGGCCGGGGCGGGGACCCGAGGGGCTCGGGGGCGGGGTCAGGGGCGGTGGGCGCACGGAATCGTGATCTCTCTTTGCTCCTAGAACCGGGCGGCCCGAGTCCGAGTAAGCAAGGGGGACAAGCCAGTGACCTATGAGGAGGCACACGCGCCTCACCACATCGCCCACCGCAAGGGCTGGCTGTCGCTGCACACAGGTGAGGGGACGATGGCTGTCTGGGCGGCAGGAGAGGACGACAGCATGCTAGGAGGCCCGCGGTACGACCCCAGGCCCCACCGAAGCTGAAGTTCTCACTCGTGACTGTCACACAAACACGAAATGAACGCGTGTCAGAGGTTTTGTTCAACTCAGGAATTAATGGGAGAGTCAGAAATCACTTAAACACGTTCAAACAAGTAAAATAGCAGAGACGTGTAGATCAGGAATGTCGAAATGTATTTGAATGGAATGCAAAACTGGCTTTTTCCATAGGGAGCAAGGATTCAAACCTCCACCGAAATTATTTGCATTCCTAAAAACAAGAATTATTTTGCATTGCTATCAATAATCTTTAATCTACTGAGATGTAAAATAGCTCAGAAGCAGTGAAAGGCGTGAAACCCCCTAGAATCCGATGGTCCGGAAGAGTGTGCTCTAAACATTGACGTTTTCCCTCGAAGCACACGTTTTTCTCTACGAGTATGTGCAGTGGACCCCCATTATTCGCGGATTCTGTATTTGTGAATTCATTCTATCTCAGTTATGGGCAGAGCAGCAACCCCACATGCAGCTTCCCAGCTGAGGTTGAACAAGGCTCTCTGCCTTCTTTCAGCTTTCATACTGTAAACAAGGTCCTTTTCGAGATCTCTTAGTGCCACATTTTCGCGGTGTTGTGGTTTTGTTGGTGATTCCAGTGCCTTAAAATAGCCTGTAATGCTGAAGTACTGTCTAGTGATTCTGAGCAGGAGAAGGCTGTGATGTGCCTTTCAGAGGAAACGTGTGTTGGATAAGCTTCCTTCAGGCGTGAGTTACAGCGCTGTTGGCTGCGAGTTCAGTGTTAGCCAGCCATGTGTAACAACCAAGGTGTCTTTAAACAGACACACATAGGAAACGACGTTATGTATTTATCTGTTTTCAAAAATTTTATAACCAAAGGCTTGCAGAAACCTAACCGTGTGTTTCCTCTAGGAGCAATTCGTTGTTCATGGTGACTTTATAGAACATAACTACTGCGAATTAATGAGAATCAGCTGTATTTTGTTCAGTATGAGAGTTCTCAGCTTGAATGTTTGAGATGCTTAAATCTAGAGAACTTAAAATACAGATTCTTGTCCCCTACCCTTTTCAGGTTGTGGGTCTGCGGTGGGGGTGGATACATTTTTTTAAGAACAGTACCTTATTTACCTCAGTATCTTTTTTTTTTCTTTTTTGAGGAAGATTAGCCCTGAGCTAACATCTGCTGCCAATCCTCCTCTTTTTTTTTTATTAAACTTTTTATTTTTCCTCCCCAAAGCCCCCCAGTACATAGGTCTATATTCTTCGTTGTGGGTCCTTCTAGTTGTGGCATGTGGGACACCGCCTCAGCGTGGTTTGATGAGCGGTGCCATGTCCACGCCCAGGATTCGAACCAACGAAACACTGGGCTGCCTGCAGCGGAGCATGCGAACTTAACCACTCGCCCACGGGGCCAGCCCTGCCAATCCTCCTCTTTTTGCTGAGGAAGACTGGCCCTGAGCCAGCATCATGCCCATCTTCCTCTACTCTATATATGGGACACCTACCACAGCATGGCTTGCCAAGCGGTGCCATGTCCACACCCGGCATCCAAACCAGCGAACCCCGGAACGCCGAAGCGGAATGCGCGCACTTGACTGCTGTGCCACCGGGCCGGTCCCTGGAGACTCTTAACAGATAGTTAAGAGGTGCAGGGATTCCAGGGTCCACACTGAGAATCCACTGGTTGAGGCCATGGCCCTCGCTGGTGAGAGAGCTCATGTCCCTAATCTCAGAAGTGGCTGGTGGCCTCATCTCTCTGGCCCATGGCTGACCATTGCTTCAATAAGGCAGTCAGTTGAGAAAGAGTGGGAAAGGGACCAGACATGGAGGGATCATCTGAGTTTTGAGCCCTGGCTAGGGCCTCAGTCTTCCCTTTTGTAAAACAGGGATAATGATAACACCTCCTTCACAGGATTGGGTTGGGAATTTAATGAAATAACGTACTTTGGACTTTAAAGTGTTATTCTTCTTACTCTGCTTACAGAAGAGAAGAGAAGAAGCCGGGGTTGGGGGGTGGAATTGAGTGCCCAGTGCTCTCGGCTGTTGTCTCTGGAGTTCTGGCCAACTCCTGGTGCCCTTCTCTCATCAGGTAACCTGGATGGAGAGGCCCATGCTGCAGAGCGAACGGTGGAAGATGTTTTCCTTCGCAAGTTCATGCTGGGCACCTTCCCGGGCTGCCTGGCCGACCAGATTAT